AGGAAATCCAAATCTCCTCCCAAAGTGCCCATTGTGATTCAGGACGATAGCCTTCCCACCGGCCCCCCCCCACAGATCCGCATCCTCAAGAGGCCCACCAGCAACGGTGTGGTCAGCAGCCCCAACTCCACCAGCAGGCCAGCCCTTCCTGTCAAGTCCCTAGCACAGCGGGAGGCAGAGTACGCCGAAGCCCGGAAGCGGATCCTGGGCAGCGCCAGCCCCGAGGAGGAACAAGAGAAGCCCATCCTCGACAGGTGAGTGTAGCTGGCAGGGCTGACGGTGGACCCCCCGACCAGGCCACGGGGAGGAGGAGGAGGTGGTAGAGGAAGAGAAGGAGAAGAGAGCTTGGCTGCAAGCCATTGTCTAACTGTTCACTTGGCAGAGAAGGAAAAGTCCATTTCCTTTCGTCTTTCATAGTAATGTCAGTCACCCATTAACCACATGACCTGCAGAGAAGCAGGACCAAAGCAATAGCAGGTGCTGGCTCACTCTATTGAGCTTTGGGTTAGGAGTCTTTACCTTGGTCCAGCGCTCTGGAAAGTCTGTGCTCATGGTTCTGCGAAGGATGTACTTACTGTCCATGGTCACTGCCTCTGGACAGCTTGGCCCTTGAGCACTCCCCCTGCCTCCAGATGAATGATGGTGAGTCAGACCAGGGGGACGAGTGCTACAGGTGCCAGAGGTGGGCATGGGCCACCTGCCCCATTGAGGAGCTTTCCAGCCTGGAGGTGCTCTGAGTCCACTTGCCAAAGAAGCAAGCTCAGGGAGCCAGAGTTGGCTCATAGCCATTGTGACTTCTGCCCCAGCTGCAGGGGTGGTTGGTTTTAAGGTTTGGGGTCCTCTTTTCAATCCTTTTTCAGGCCTCCCACTGATCTTCTTCCCTTCAGGCCAACCAGGATCTCCCAACCCGAAGACAGCAGGCAGCCCAATAATGTGATCAGACAGCCTTTGGGTCCTGATGGGTCACAAGGCTTCAAACAGCGCAGATAAATGTGGGCAAGAAAGAATGCTGCCGCCGTCACCACCTCCTGGGTCGTCCGCCACGGGTCGCACTGCCGTGGCCGACAACTGGACTTGAGCAGAGGGAAGGACCTGATTAACTTGCACTGTGATCCCTTTTGCTCCTCCCACTGTGACCTTGAACCCCATGCACTGTGACCTTCCCCTTTTCCCCCTTCCCACTGTGATTGGCATGTCTACAAGGGCTGTCCCAAGTCAATGGAAAGGGAAAGGATGGGGGTTAGGGGACTTAAGAGAGTCAGACAGTGCCACTTGGCCACTTGGGGTAAAGCCAGTGCCAGCAATAACAGTTTATCATGCTCATTAATTTGGGATTTCAAAACAAATGAGAACTCCCATCCACCCACCCCCAAGTGCATGTCTTCGTCACTTAAAAGCAAGTTCCATTTGAAAATTATCCTTTCTTTTTTTTTCTTCCTATTTTTGTTTGTTTATACAAATACTGATTTGCAAGAAAAAGTGCATGGGAAGGGTTTTAGCAGTTTAATGAATTTTTAATTAAGAAAGGGTAGTTTGGTAGTCTACTTAAAAATGTTTCTGGGAAATTTACTAGAAACATTAACCCATAGGTTTTTGGTGAGCTTAGCTTCTGTATTCCTACTGCCGCCCAGAAAAGGGGCAGGGCTCTGTAGCCGCCAGGACAGATGAGCACCCCATGCCTATACCTCCCTCCCCCCAGCTAAGTCCCAGGGCATCATGGCCCTACCTGGAGACTGGGCTCGTTCTATAGGCTCAGAGAGCCGGGGGAGGGTGCCAACCCCACCTCTAGTATTTTGGGAGACAGGGAAAGTGAAGAGACTTTCCCTTCCCAATCCCCTCAGGGTGGTTCCCTACCAGCCGGGCTTGCTACTTCTAGAAGAGAGCAGGGAGTGAGACTGCACTCCTGAGCTTAGAAGTAAATGATGCGAGGCTTGCTCAGTATTTTGCTGTCAGCACAAGGAACGCCAGGAGAGAGTCTGGCTCCAGGGCTCAGCCTCCTGCCTAGTGTGGTCAGAAGGTGTCTGCGGAGTGCCATCTCCAATGATGGCAGCAGCTCGGCAACTATAGCTGGTACATTTCCTTTGTGAAATCACTACCTTGGGAGCAGACCATTCTGAATACCTATGGGGGAAGACAAGCTGTGCATTGCAGATTGGTGATGACAGACTGGTTCCCCATAGTCCTAGGCTACCCTTCACCCTTTTTCCAGAGCAAGGGCCTGGAGTGAAGGCAGTCTCCCCTCTGTCCCTGGAGCCTAGGGATTGGCTTTGGCTCCTGGAGGTGGAAGAGACTATAAGAGGGCGGCTGCCCAGAGCAGCTCTGTGTGTGCACAGTCTGGCCCTCTCAGGCTTTCTCTGGTCTCTTCTGTTGCACTGCGCCTTACCCCCAGCCGGCCGGCCAGCCAGCCTCCCACTCAGTGGATGAGTTTTGGAGTGGCGGGTGTGATGTTTTTGTGATTAGGGCAGCTTGTGGTGGCCACGGTGGCAAGCTAGGTTTTGGAGTCTCACTCTACCTTTGTTCACCTGGCTCTTGGCCTTGCCCTGTGGGAATGTAGGCCAGGCTCAGCAAGCCATGTCCCACTACATTTTCCCCTTAGAAGGAAGGGCCAGCTGCCAGTTGAATCAGCAACTAGTCCGCAGCACAGTCTTGTAACTGCATGAAGCCAGATAATTGTCTGTGAGCGGAGCTGGAACAGAGAGCTTCAGTCAGTAAGAACCTACAGGTTGTTGAGTTGTGACCATAGACTATTCTGGCAGGGAATTACCTCCAGGCGTGGGCGAGGGAGAAGGTTGATTGCTGTCTTTATAGTTCCACTGCCCTGACCAAGTTTCCTCATTCTAAATGTGTAGTGTCCATCCCTCATGTAATAGTGGTTTCTGGCCCAAAGTGAGACTGTCCTTTCAGTTGGAGAAGGGCACAGAGGCAGGCCAGATGGAAAGGCCAGAAGTGCTGATTGCCCAGCCATTGGGACAACCTGTTCTTGCCCCCCTCCCCTAATGGAGCCAGAGGGAAGACTGGCTGATGGGTGTCTGTGGATGAGGATATAGTAGGGACTGGTGCTCCCACCTCCCTCTGGCCAAAGATGGGGCTCTGCCCACTGTGTGCCTGTACCTCCTTGGCTTCCCAGATGGAGAGGTAGCAAATTTTTTAAAAAGAAAAACGAAAACAGTGAACTGTTGTATTGGAGGAGGTGGGAAGGAAGATGGGAGAACGGTTTGGGGTGGTGTGTGTGTGGGGGTGGGGGGGGGTTGTATTGGAGGAGGTGGGAAGGAAGATGGGAGAACGGTTTGGGGTGGTGTGTGTGTGTGTGTGTGTGTGTGTGTGTGTGTGTGTGTGTTGGTAGTTGTCTGTAACTTTCCTTAAGTGCTTTTTTTTTTAACTTTTTTAAGTAAGCTGCGGGCTTTGGCTTAGAAAACCCCGGGGGGGTGTAGGGGGCAGAAACCTGAGGCTGCTGCCCTTTATCTGCCTTCATGGTACTGTCCCTTTCCCCCAGCTCCTCCCTGACCCCATGAGCCAGGCCTCAGACCTTCCAGCTAACTGCTTCCCATGAGCCACTACTCTGTTGTCAGCCTATAACCAAAGGAGCTGGGGGTCTGGGCCTGGTGACCAACCCTTCTCAGCCCACTCAATCAGGGTGCTCCCCACCTGCAGGCAGGAGGCAACACCCTATCTGCTACCATCAGCCCCTTCCAGAGCCCACTGCCCCGCCCTGCCCTGTCCAGTCCAGCCATACCCTGCTCTGCCCCATCTGGGGATGCTCTGCTCAGGGATGGGCCGGTAGGGCTACCCCAGCCTCCCTGCTAAGCAGAGACTCTGGAAACCTCTGGGGTCCTGTTTTCTGGCCATGTGATTCCAAGGGTGCACATGGGCCCCTTGGGTGTCTGAACAGAAGGGCATGGGAGGGAGGGCTGCACCCCTGCAGTCCTGCTCTGCTGATCTAGCGGGCAGCTGCCCACCCCACCCCGCACCGCGGGCTCCTGAGTCGGCAGATTAAGCATTTTATAAATTGTATTTTAAATACATGTTTTAAACTTGTCAGAGCCTTGTCCTCATTTCAGTCCCTGGCCTCCTAACTTCTTGCTGTGGCTGCTTATTTAACCACTGGGAGCTACCTCTGCTCAGTCCCAGGGAGGGGCTCGCTTTCTGTTAGAGAAGTAGGTCTAAGGTGGTGTGTGTGTTGGGCGGTAAGAACCCACACCCTTAGGCTCCAAGGGAAGGGGACCCCTAGGCCCTGGGGCTCTGTTGGTGAGAACATGGGCGAGGCCCTTCCTGCTTTTCCATGGGGTCTGCCCCTCTCAGGGGTCTTTCCCAGGTACTTCCTTATGTTCCCCATTCCCTTTGAGCAAGGAGGGAGAATTCCTGCCCTTGGGGGGCTCCTAGTCCAAAAGGAACACCTCAGCTCAGCTGGGGAAAATCCCAGCTTTGTCCTTGAGAGTACACAGGGCCATGTCCAGCCAGAGCCCCAACCCTGGGCAGGGCTTTGAGGTACATTTTGCTTTATGGGTTCCCAAGCCTAAGGGAGGCTAGGGCCCTGTGCCCTGGGAACCCAGTGGAGGGATGAGAACCTGGGTGAGGGTCTTCCTGGCACCAGGAAGCAGGTGAGTGCCCAGAGGGCAGAGGCCCCAGCACCGGGCACGAAGGCTGAGGTTCTTGGTGTTTATTGGCTTACCAGGCCACAAAAGCAAAATCTAGCTGTGGTCCCTGCCTGATGACCTATCTGTCCGCAGGTCTTAGACAGCTGTCCAGAGTCAGGACTCCGCAGGGTCAGTGGGTTCGAGCCGGCACAGAGCTGAGCCACTTCCGGCCGTCAGAACTGTGTTCCCTAGGGAGAAGGGTGGGAGGAAATGCTCCATCTCCACGTGCCCAAGGGGAGAGGACGCCTTCCCTGGGAAGCGATGAGCCAACAGTCAGGCTCAGGGGCCTGACTCCGAGTCCAGATCGCTGGAAGGGGAATGCTGCAGGGGAAGCTTCGCCCTACCCAGCTTCTACGTCTGTTTCCTGCTACACCTACCATGGAACCAGACTTGGCCAAAGGACTTGAGTGTTAAACCCCCTGATGAGAGAGGCAGGCAGTGCCAGCCTAAGAGAAAGATGATAGATACCACTGAGTCCTGGGCACAGGAAGGCATAAGTAAGTACCCTGACTCATGAATAATCCACTTGGTGCACAGGCCTTCAACCAACGTTAGTTTTTCCCCCCCTTTCTCTTTTCTCCTCCCCGGAGCAACAGTCTCCCAGGCCTCACTTCTTAGAAGGATGGATTCTTGGCTTAGGCCAAGGGCCCGGTAGGGAAGGAGGTGGATGGGCCTGGCTGGGGCCCTGGCCCTTTGGGCACCCACCTGCTTCCTGGAGATCCTGACTGGAAGTAGAGGCTATGAAAATCAGTGCTCGGGTTGCTGGGGGTGCACTGGTCCAACATGTATTGGCCGCCCTGCTTCCGGCCTACCGTCTTCTTGTCCAGCCTCGGGCAGAGTGGGATGCAGGGCACCTGGGCGTAGGGGCTCTGCAGGTTGACGGCTGGCGAGGGAGGAGGAGACGGGAGAGGGAGATGTTTCAGAATACACCCAGCCGTGGGAGGCAGGCGGACCCAGGTGAGATCCTGACTTTGCTGCCTTACGAGCTGGCTGAGTTTGGGCACATTACCTCTCCAGGCCTCTATGTAGGCTGGAGATGATAGTGGTACCCACCTCACTGTGGGAGATGAGGATTAAAGGGATAGTATGTGCAAAGCGTTCAGCTAAATGCCGAACACTGCATACGGGCTAATTACAGCTGAAAAAGCAGATGTCTTCTGTGATGGGTCCTGGCAAAGTCTGGTTGGCACACTCCAGACTCTGGGAAGCTCCTAGCCCATCACTTGGCATTCAGTAGAAATCTAATGGTACCTACCATTATGGGGAGGCCGCCTTGCCCAGTAAAAAGAGCCCAGGTTTTGGAGTAAGAGCTGGGTATAAACTCCCCTTTCTGACGTGTTGGCTGTGGGGCCTTGGACAAGTTCCTTAAACTTACCCAGTTTCAGTTTTCTGTAAAATGGGGTAAATATGTGATTATGGGGATTAAGTTCTAACGCATCTGCCAAGGACCTAACGCAGTGAGTGATGCCAGTGGGTGCTCAATCGATGAGCTGGGAGCGCTCATCACCTGGCTCTTGGGACCAACCTGTGGTCAGGGCTGAGGCACTGGGGAGAGTCCATGTGGAAGGCCTGGTCAGCGGGCTGGAGATGGGGTAATGACTGTCAGCCCGTTGACTGACACAGTTAACCCCAAAAGGGGAAACCATGTCTGTCAGCCTGGTTCTGACTTCGTAGGGGCCCAGGGAACGAGGTGAGATGTGCAGGAGAGCAGAGCCCCCACCATGCCCAGGGCCCTCACCGTAGCTCTGCTGCTTCAGCCGGTTCAGGATCCTGAGGACCCTTCGTTCTGGGACTTCCAGGCCGTCTGCCTGCTGCAGGTTGCAGGGAAGCTTCTTCCGGGACCGCAGCCGGCCTATGGCCGATTCCATCTCTCGGGCCTTCGAGGTCCCTTCCTTGAGCTTCTTCTGGTAATAGCTGGGGAGGCAGTGCCCACCCAGCTCAGCCTGGCCATGTTTAATTCACCCTCCTCTTCCCTCACTCTTCCTGGGGGCCTGTTATGTCTGGCCAGCCCTGGAGCAGGAACGCAGGCCCAGGACTTGGGAGACCTGGGTTTTAGTCCCAGCTCTGCCATTTACTTCCTGTGACCATGGGCATGTCATTGCTCTGCTTTAAGCCTCAGTCACAGTCACCCCTGCATAAAATGGGGGGTGATGATTGTCTTATCCCTGTCACTGCAAGTCACTTGACTTCTCTGAGCTTCAGGTGTCCCCTGGGTGAAAAGGATCAAAAAGTCCACACGTTATAGGGTTAAATGACTGCCCATCAAGCACTCAGCAAAGTGTGTGGTCCATGGGAAGAGCTTGGTAAATGTTACCCTTGATTTCTGTCACTGATATTTGTACTTAGATGTGCGAGTGTTTTATAAGTCAGCTGTGCAATTAACTCCTGCTCATCTTCCAGATTTCAGCTTAAGGGCAATCTCTTCCAGAAAGTTCTCTCTCCTCCCGCCGACTAGCTAGGCTCCCACTGTGGGCCCCAATAACCTGTGCTTATTCCATTGTAACCCATAGCCTACTTTATTTTAACACATCACTACTTGCGCCTTTTCTCCACTAGCCTGCAGCACCATTCATTCATTCATTCATTCAGTAAATATTAGTGGATTGTTTACTTTGTACTGACCACTCATCTAAGTACTTGGGAAAGACTGGTGCAGGGTATATTTATTTAGAGTCCCTGATCACAGTCCTTTGGCCCCACCTCTCACTGTAGCCATTGCAGCAGCAACCACTTCCACCAGGGCTTCCACCTGCTTGAGCACACCTGACATGATCTTGCCTCAGGCTTGAGCCCCTTGCTTCCTGCCCCAGAGCTTCTCTGATCCATGTGCAAACCAAAGTGCAGGGGAATTAAACACCTATCGGGGGCCACATTTGATCAAAGGAGCCAACAGCTGAAGTATACAGGCTTCTCTCCCCTGACTGGTTCTGAGCCACCGTTCATAGTCTCCTCAATAGCACATCCTGATATTGGCTTCTCCTTTGCTGTTCATGTCCCTTCCCCATCCCATTCACTGGAATTACTTTCTAAGTCAACTACCTAGGCTCATAGCTAGTGGAAGAGTTAGACCATAAGTTAAAAAAACACACAATACCATGTCAGTAGTTACAGGTGCTCTAAGGGAAAGTCAAAGTAGGTAGTGGGTTGTGAGGAGCTATTTTGCTCACAGTGGTCAGCAAAAGTCTTGGAGGTGGTGGCATCTGAGCAGAATAAGGGGAGGGAGCTACCCAAATGGGTATTTAGAGGGAGTGACATGTGAAAAGGCCAGGAGGTTGCAAAGAGCTTGGTGACCTCTGGGAACAGCAAGGAGGCAAGAGGGGCTCGAGACTGGTGTGTGAGGGAGAAGGGGAGATGTGGGCAGCAAGATGGCGAGGCCAGACAACCTGGGGCTCTGTAGGTAGTGGTGTTGGGAAACTCTTAGGACTTAAGCTGATGGTTCTGCTAGGGCCTCTGCCTATCCCTGGGGCCTGTAATTTTGGGGTTTATTGGGCTTCCCATAGGGAAAATAGAAAATGAATACCAGAGCCCTCACATGGAAATTGGATGTAGATCTCTGTGTAAAACTGGGACCTAAAAAGGCAGTGCACCAAATAAAAGATGGACTAGAAAATAACTTCACCCCACAGAGACCAGTAGGACATGAGCAGTGTGTGCACAACTTTGTCACAATTTCAAAGGAAATTGCCTACTTCCCAACTCTTCTTTTCCCCCTCCCTGTGGCCTTGAATTCAGGTGTGTTGCTGGTAACTTAGCTTAGGATCGACCTAGGGAATGGTGGGAAGAAGCTGGGTGCTTGGGGGGACCTTGTCTTCCTGCCTGCTTCCTCCAGACTGTCAATATAAGAGAGGAATAAACTATCTTGTTTGAACTATAGAACATTGGGTCTATTCCTTAACTAAGACACCTGGAATTCTATACCCAGCTAACCTATTAAGTAAATTTGAGGGTAGAAAAAACACTTTCACAGATTGGCAAAATCTCAAAAATTTCACCTCCCACATATGCTTGCTTAGGAAGCTACTGAAGAACACACATGCTTTCAAAATGAAGGCATGAACCAAAAAAAGAAAAGGAAGATGTACATGCAGAAAATGGGATCTAACACAGGAGAGAGGCAAAGGTAAAGGGAGATCCCACAATGGCAGTGCAACTGCCATAGGACAACTAGTTTAGATTGGATCTCTATAGCTTAAATGACAGAAATTTTGAGGGCCGGCATACCTGTTGTTGAAGTACTATTGCCTTTATAACCCCAAAATGTTACAGGGCAAACATGCTCCCTTTTAGGAAAAAAAAAAGAGTAAGACATGCAGCAAACAGAATCCTAATTAGAGGGAAGGAAGAAAGGGTTCCTAGGATGGCAGGCTCCCAAGGTGGCAGTTCTACAGCAGGCCTAAAAAGATATTAATCCTAAGCAAGAAGAATGGAATTATTTAGAACATGCCTCCATCCAACAAAAAGGAATACTAGGAAGGTGCAGAAATGATCAGTGAATTAAAAAAAAAAAACACAAAACAAGGCAATAACCCATTTTAGGAAATTTTAAAGGAAGTGAAATTGTAGTATATTAATAAAAAAACCATATACTTACTTAGTAAAAAATGATGCTATATTGGAATGGGGAGTGGGAAGATGGTGGGATAATTGTATTAGCTAAATCCTTACCATCATCGGAAGTCAATAGATAAAAGTCTAAAAATCTAACCAAAATATCGTAGTATATGCATATTACTTAAAAATAAGGAGGGAGCCAATGCTTGCCTTTGGAAGAAAGACTTCAAAGAGTGGGGGATATGATATATCAGTTGAGTGTTAAGCAAAAGGAAGTTGGTATAGCCATACTAATATTTTAAAAACTAGGCCTTAAGACAAAATGCATTACTAGAGACTAAATTATAAAATGTTCAATTCATCAGGGAATACAAAATTCTAGACATGAAATGTAAAGCAAAACCTGATATAACTACTAGGAGAAATAATTCCACCATCACAGAAGTGTTAATAAATAACTATTCCATTCTGCCATTGTAGCATCAAAGAATCCATAGATGGTATGTAAATGAATGGCTGTGGCTGTGTTCTGATGAATGTTTATAAAAATAGATCAGGCTGTATGTGGCCTGCAGCCCATAGTTTGCCAACCCTTGCCTACTGTAGACCTTTCCCTGAGACTAAAATCCCAGGAGAAATAGCATTTGAAATTGAGTCTTACCAAGCTAAAAAGCTTAGGAGAAATCTGGACTTTTCACAATTATGCCCTAATAAAGTAAAAAAGCAAGCCTACACAAATTCATGATAATCAGCTAGTAACTGAGCTGCCTACAAGAACAAAAATTAACACTTATTAAAGGAAGATAACAGAATCTAGTTTTTAAACCATATCATTCAAAATGTCTAGGAAGTAAGAAATCACCAAACTGTAAAGAAACAGGAAAATGTGGCGCATAGTAAGGAGAAAAACAATGCATAAATAACAATCCTGAGATGACCCAGATGTTGGATTTAGTAGACAGCAGCATTAAAGGAGCTATTAAAAATATGTTCAGATAATTGAAGGAACGTGCGATCTTAATGAATGAAAAGACAAACTATAAACAAGAAACAAATGGAAATTCAAGAACAGAAAGTATAATAACTAAAATGAAAAAGTCATTGAATGAGCTTAAGAGCAGATTGGAGATAACGGAAAAAAGGAATTAGTAAACTTGAAGACAGATCAATAGAAATCCAATTTGAAGAAGAGGGGGCTGGGGGGAAGACAAATGAACAGAATTCTGTTCCTGGCCATGATGGAACAACTAGTACTGAACTTGTCCTAGTGCCATAAATAGATACATGAACAAAATACATGATGCTGTTGTCTGAGACTGGACAACAGGCAGCACAAGAATGATCTGTGAGAGGAGGAGAGAAGCCATGAGGTGAGCCTTATGATCTCCCTAGAATTTTTTCTGGTGGTACTTCCTGGACTGCAGGGCAGGAAGTAATATCCCAAGCAGAAGACAATTAGGTAAGGAGACAGACATTGGAGTTTGGACAGATGGAGGCCATCTTTAGCGTATCAGAATACCAAAGAGAGAGAAAGTTGCAAAATATGCATGGCGTACTCTAATGTGTGAACCATCCAATCAGATCCCTCCTTTTAAGACTTAACCACCCTCAAGAGAGCCAATCCATGCCTTGGCTTTCTCCCACCTTCATGTAATTTTCCGTCCCCTCAATTTCAAATGCATAAAAGAAACTGCAAATTTGTCATTCTGCCCAATAGGGGGTGTGCAGGAGGCAGCCAACCAATCAACGTGATTCTCTCTCATCATTGATGTATCTATCTCTCTCCCTCTCCCTCCCTCTTTCTGAAATGAATAGAAACATTTTTTTAAAGTCATGTATAGTCAATGCAAAAAGCATGGTGCACCCAGGAGAGTAGAAGGCAAAAATTACAAACTCCTGAGTTACAAGCTCCCAGAACTTGAATCCAAAGGCAGTAATCCGAGTTCATATCCCAGGTCCACCACTGACTATTCACGTGATCTTGGCAAAGTCTCTTAGCATCACTAAGCCTTAGTTTTCCCAACTAGAAGTGAGGATAACTATAATACCTATCTCATGGGAGATAAAATGAGGCAAAGAGCTTAGAACAGGCCAGGCATATAATAGGTGCTCACTAAACATCAACAACTATTATTTCTTAAATCATTGGTTATTTTTCCTCAAATAAACTCATAAAAATTCTCTAGGTTTGGGTGTTTTTATGTCAACATAAGTGTACTAGAAATTGTATAAAAATTTCAGGAAGTCTGATATGCCTTGGTATAATGTTATCAGTCATAATTACAGTTATCTTAAAATGCTGTACATCACAGACACAATCAATTCTCATCAGATCTTTAACCTGGCCATTTTAAGTCTTTCCT